CGATATTCTCCATTTTTTCTTAGATTCCTCTTAGAAAAAAAAAAAAAATATTTGAAAAAAAATCTCTAAGAAAATCCCTAAAAGATATTTATCCCTAATTGTATCTCTAATGGCCCAGAATAGTCCTAAATCTAGGGAGATAAATTTATAAACTGGCAACACTGAACGGATGTAGGTAGACCTAGTTTATTCTAGCAAAACTAGCTTGTCCTATGATCGGGTTTGGCTCGTAACATTTATAAAAACCAGGGCTTCGACTTTAACAAAAGTAACTAACGTTTTTACGTACCTTTTCTACTTGATACCCAGGGTGCCCAGATTGTTTAAAAATAAAAGAGCCATTTCTGAAAAAATCGCCAAAAATCGCCAATTTTTTTTTATAAAACTCATGAAATCGGCTTAAAAAATCTTTTATTTTGAAAATGAGATCTTGTTATAACATAGTTTTTAAAAGCAGAAAGGAATATAATGCCTTCACGGTAATAATAAATAACACAAATCACTTATATGATAGTGATGTACAAACAATTTTCTTTAAAAATATTCATACTTCTAAAAAATATTTGTATTAACATATTTCCCAATAGGACTGCGCAATTAATAAATTTATTATAACTCATATTAATTGATTAATCGCACAATACGCTTTTAAGGGCTCGGCGCTAAAAATAAAATAAAAGCTATAATACGGCGAGATCAGCTATTTCCACAAATGAAATTGCAAATTTCCCATTCAGTGGTACTTGTCACAAATGGTGGTTTAAGATTGCCAAATGTTAACAATAATCGATAACAATAAAAAGTGTTGCCACATCAAAATTGAAGCTCTAACTCCATAACCTACTTATCACGTGTTTTGACGCATTTACATGATAGCGTGCAAAAAATTGAATTGAAGGGAAAAAATCGCCAAAGGCGATTTCCTAATTTTGTACGCGCAAATATAAAAAAAAAACGCCAAATTGGCGCTAAATCGCCCAATCTGGACACCTGTAAAAAGGCAGCGCACCCATTCAAGCAGATGCGTATACATTCCTAAATGCCACTTAAAGCAATACTTATTCCTTAAACTTCGTTACTTCGAAAATAAGATAGTTCCGGCGGCCCTGGGATCTTGAACCATAATCGCTGTTTTCAGATTTCGTGTTTTATATCATACAGGATTCAGAGTGATTATAAAATATCTTCATACCAGGAAGTATATAACGATTAGTTTTGGTCCCCGCCAAAAATGCCTATAGCCAACACTCCTTCCAATAACTATAGCACTTTTGATTTGGCCTAGTATATGCTTTGCCTATTCCGTAACAAATTGTTCTCTCACATGTAGACTAAGCATACATCAAATACCACCTAAGTACTGCTGTAAAAACAATGGATGGATAATTTTTACTGTGGTTTTGGTTGACAAATAACTATAACACTTTTGGAGTTTTTATATAAAAATGCTTTTATGTTTTTTTTTTTGTTTCCCTTCACAAACGCTTCTAGTGAGAATTCTCCAAATGTATTCATTCCGGTTAAAATCCACAGAGCTTGCATTCCAATGCCAGGGTATTATGAAATATATAAATATAATTTTCGACCATATACATAAGTTTCAGCTTATTTTTCATCATAACATGCCCCATATCACGTACGAATAGGGTTGCCAGGTTTTTATTTTGAAAAATCAGTACATCATTATTTTCGATTCATCAAAATCAAAACTTTTCGGTAGAGTTTTATTAAATATAACAAGGGTATTTGTTTTTGTTATATTATGGCCTTATAACAATTATATTCAACAATTTTTATTGAGCTTGAGGCCGTTTTTAATGAAAAACTTATTGTGGTAAACCAACAATAATTTGAAAAAATGGTAGAAGTGATAGCTATTTCGGAAATCACCACATTTCCTCATCAGACTTCTTTCAGTAGGTTTCGAACCGACGAACCCACTGACTCAGCCAGTTGCCTACGCACTGTGCTAAGTTCGCCTTGTGAATTATCGCTGCTTTTTTCCCACTTTTTACAACGCTTTTATCAACATGCAATGTTGTGTGTCCAGAAACTTTCAATGTTGTGGATCCAGAAACTTTCAATGTTGTGTGTCCGACACCTAAAACCTTTGCTTCGAAAAGTTCCTATAAAAAAGCATAGTGCATAGGGCGACATCTGTAGTGAATGGGGCGAGGTAGATGACATCTAGATGTCGCCCTATGTACTACGTTTGCTACAGCGGAAATAGACGACACGCCATTTCTTTAAATAAAATTAATTGGTGCTCTTTTGTATGTACATACATATGTAAATGCATGTGTGTGCACCTTTCTATTAATATCGTTGAATTATTTTAATATCTATTGCAAAATTTTATTCAGACAGGACTAAAAAGTAGAAAATAAATAATATAAAAAAAAACTTTTTAATATACAACGCAATTATAAATGGACTAAAAAGTAGAAAATAATATTTCTCAGTCCCATAGAATTTGTTTTGATAACTTTTGATTTTGAAATTTTAGCAAAAGTCATTATAAACAATCTATGAAATTGAAAATGAAAAGCGTGGGGCGCATGTAATACACTTGAATTGATATGAAAAGTAATATATGTATGTATGTATGTGGGTATATGAATAACGACCGCTTAAAATCGATTTCAAAGTTCTACTTTCGCTGTAGAAATTTTAGGTCTACGTTATGTAGTTTGACTATTGTCAATTAAATCGAATGCTTTGTATTGCATGCGCTCCACGTTTTTCATTTTCAATTTCATAGATTGTTTATAATGACTTTTGCTAAAATTTCAAAATCAAAAGTTATCAACAAAAATTCTATGGGACTGAGAAATATTATTTTCTACTTTTTAGTCCATTTATAAAAGCGTTGTATATTAAAAAGTTTTTTTTTATATTATTTATTCATTTGTTAAGCCAACACAATCAAGCGCAGCCATTCCGCTGCAATTTACACTTCATCATGTGGTTGTTGGTTTTGTTGGTTTTTATTAATAATTCTATTTTTAGAATGTTTAACTTTTAGGTGTGCTCGTCCTTAAGTTATTTGTTTTGTGTTGGCTTAACAAATGAAAAAGTGGGAAAAAAGCAACGATAATTTACAAGGCGAACTTAGCACAGTGCGTAGGCAACTGGCTGAGTCAGTGGGATCGTCGGTTCGAATCCTACTGAAAGAAGTCTGATGAGGAAATGTGTTGATTTCCGAAATAGTTTTCACTTCTACAATTTTTTCAAATTATTGTTGCTTTTCCACAATAAGGTTTTCATTAAAAACGGCCTCAAGCTCAATAAAAATTGTTGAATATATAACAAGGGTAGCAAACCTACCCATGGCTGTAACAGAAAATATGTACACTCGCTCACTTATATCTGCGTACACTTTTTTTAATATTCATAATGATTTGCAAGCTATAAATTTTTTGTTATTTTTTTTTTACAAAAATATAGTTCATGCAGACTGGATGCCACTATCTAACTCCTATATGAAATTGTTCGCTGATTTCGAAAATCGAGTTAAGTTATTTCTGTGGATAAAAGTTCTGTGGAAAAAGGTAGCTCCACTTATATCTTACGAAGCAAATGCACAATCTTAATAGGAAACACGGCAAAATACAAGCTAACGAAATTCTCCATAAACCGTATATACAACACTTTTCGATAGGCCTGATAGTTTCTGAGAAATTAATTATAACTAATGATTATTACAATAATTATAATTATATTATAATAATTACTCATTCTATATTTTATGAAAAAAATTCAAAAAATTAAAACTTTAACAGAGGAAAAAATTTTAAAATTAACAACAAGTGATCCAGTGTAATAGTTTATAATCGGAGGTTTGCCATTGCCGGTCGAGGCGCGACCGCCATTTCCCTTTTTTTTTTGTTATTTGTCGGACCTGCTCGAGCCCATGTCCTGCGGAATGGTAGCGATCATTGCTAACCACTAAAACAAAAACAAAAACTAAAAATAACAATAACGATTTTTTTTTTTTTAAAACCACCAAAAGCTTGCCATTGACGGTCGAGGGGCGACAGTGGACACTAGAATTTTTAAGTTTAAAAATTTTAATTATCCTGAAAACTTAAGCAACTCAAATTTTTCCTTGCATGTAGCTTTCTAAAATCTTAAGATTTGAATTAAATGTTCTGAATACTTTTTCAGTAAAATCAAGAAAAACCAAAAAATAAATGCAAAAAAACTATTCAATCTATTAAATATATAGTATATATATGTATGTAGGTGTTCTACTTGATATTGTGGAAATAACAAACTAATTATAAATTCTGAGCATACGCTTTAGTTATTTGTCCAACAAAACCTTCCATCCTTCCATTGATTTCACAACGGTCCTCAAAACATAGGGAACCAAATTTGTTGATATTTTCGTATGCTTAGACAACATTTGAAAGAACAATTTGGAGTAATGGCCTTTTAAATTGCCCACACCAAAAGTGCTATAGTTATTGGCAGGAGTGTATGTATGTATATTTAGTATTATTGCAATAAAAATACAAATAAATAAGATTGCCTATTGACAGAGAAACCATCTAAAACTTATTCAGATTTCCTGAAGCAGTCTCGTCCAACCAAATACATTTTAAATTTAAGTACTTATGTAAATAAAGAACCCAGTCTATTTGTACAGCTTATTATTTATTACTTTTTTTTTCTTTTTTAATTCCATATGACACCAATGCCACTACCACCACCATTACCATAACTACCAACACCAACAAATCATACTCGTACATAATCACATCATATTCAAAACATAACCGTTATTTTAACGAATTCACTCTGCATTTCGATAAACACATACTACTTCATGTGCAATTCTTTCTCTGTGTGTGTACATATGTATGTACAAAATTGTACATCCATAAATCGATGCGCTGTTTGTAAATAATTCAACAATATCGCTTCACAAATGTACATACATACATACATACTTCGACGAATAATGACTATGCACACTACTATAACATGGATTAAAGGTACCAGTTGAATACATCCTTCATCATTTCATTCGCGTACTGTCAATCGCCTACGACATTCATCTACGGGAAAGAGAAACTCGCGAATAGCGAAAGCTCAGCGTAGCTGGTAAGGAGAATAATGAACTAGAAGAAGCTGAGAATGATGAATGAACACCAACAGCTGAGCCAGCGTGCGCATACGACAGCCAGAACTGAGATAATTTTTTAACAATAATATTGCAACTGTGATAAATCAAAAGTGGGCTGAAACACCATGCTCAGCTGATTTCTGCACGATAACTAGAAAATCAAAATATATACTGAAATGCAATAGAATCTTTTTGGAACGAAGTAATTTAAGTGCAACCAGTCGGCACATTCTCTAAACAAAAAAAGCAAACAAGGAAACATTAACTAATAGTTATAAAGTAAACGTAGTTGCCTTTTAATGCCAAGCAAATAAAAAACCGATGCAATCTTCAAAACTTCTATTTATAATACTTGTACTTGAAACTATTGATTAAAATAAAGTTGCATACAATATGACGAATTATTAAATAATTAGTATCACAAAATTATTAATTTTGTCTGCATGTCTCGTATAAAGCTTTTGTAAATAATCGTTGAACTGATTTTGAATAAATGTTTGTATAAATAGAAACTTCTAAAACAACTAGAAGGTTACAAATGTGTTTCTTTTGTATTTAAAATGCAAATACATACATACATACATACATATGTATGAACAAACTGCTTACATTTATACATATATACAAATGTGTGTGTTTATGTACACCTGCTCTTTTATGTGTTTTAAAGTTTGTAAATTGTAAATATGGCCCAAAACGCGGACGGTTGAATTGCGTTTCGGCTCACACTGCTTTTCAATTACCGCTGCAACTCGCTAGAATGCAATTTTCGGATAGTTTTTCTTCTTGAATCTGAAAGCATAAGTATGTGGCAATATTTAATATATGTATACTTAAAATATATTGGAACTTTTGTTATTTAGGAGCTATGAATGTTTCAACAGCGGACTGTTACATAACAATTTTTGGAAGTACTTTTTAAAGCTGCTTTATATTATGAAACAAGTCTGCTTTCCTGATACATATAATGTTTTCAAAAGTTGGTACACAGTTTCTTAGCTTAAGGATGGAACGGGACTACGTATTAATTGAACAGATAAAATTAATTTTAAGGTAAATATTTGCAAATAATAGCGGGACTGTTACGTTACAGAAAAATACTGTTATGTTACCTGGGCGATATAAGTGTAGCGATAAGATTACAATTAGGTTTTTAAATGGCTTATGGCAAGGCGCATCCGTGTAAGGTCGTAGCAAGCGCATATAAGACAAAATCCCGTGTACTTTGTTATTGCTTTTTGGTACATAAAGATGTCAAAACGAAATAAAATAGGAGATAATTTTGTTTTGTTGACAGCCTAGAGTTACGCCATTTCGTCTTGGATGACATTCTGTTGTACTAGTGTAGAGACATAAATATTAAATCAGCTGTTCTAGTAACGCCACCTTGCATAGATGCGCCTTGTCTTATAGTCTGTTTTATGCAATAAGTAGCAGAATTCAGTAGACTTACGATCTGACATTGTAGTCCAAAAAGTTAATAACATGATAATTATGAATACAGATTTGAAAAGTTTCTTATGCTGTGCAGCTGTACGTTGTTTCCGAAGTAATTTTCTGTGCAGGACTCGAGCTTGAGCTTGGAACTGCGCCAAAATATTGAGGTTTTTCGCGGTTAAGTACACGAAAAAGGGCTTCAGTGGCCAAGTTTCTTTGCTCTATGTCATTGAGTACTATTATTACTCTACTATATTCTTCAAGTGGTGCTTTCTTATTTGTCCTTCAGAAACTATGGCCATTGGAAGATGACGTAATGAGCGAGAAAGCATATGCTTGGTTTGGCGATGTTAGATTCGAGGACACGGCAGTTAAAGTGGCCGTAACTCTTGAAGAAAAAATATTATAGGGTATTCCGCGCTTAATTGGTTTCCTCGCATAATTGGTTAGAAATATGTGCTATCGGAAAGATAATTGTTATTTTCTGAGCCTATTTAAGTTATTTGGCGGCCGCAGTGGTGTAGTTGTTAGCAGTGCGCGCTACCACTCCACAGGGCCTGGGTTATACCCCTTCTCAAAGCAATATCGCAAAAAAATATATAGAAAAAAAGTTTTCCTTGAGAGCGGTCGCCCCTCGGCAGGCAATGGAAAACATCCGAGTTTATTTCTGCCATGAAAAACAGCTTCTCATATAATTACAATCGCCGTTCGGAGTCGGCGTAAAACTGTAGGTCCCTCCCCTTTGTGTGACAACATCAAGGCGCACGCCACAAATTGGAGGAGAAGCTCGGCCAAACACTAACATATGAGTAAGCGCCCATCTATTATTACCATTATTATTTAAGTTAGAGAGAATATAAATTGTAACTATTGCA